TATTTTTCTCTCGGTAAACTAGAACGGCACACAGAGTGAGGATCGTATAGAGGTACGGGGATGGTATAACGTTATCAAACCGAAGCATTGTCTAACTTTAATTGAAAATATTGGAATAAATTTTCCAATAGATGCCGCCAATGAAACCCTGAGTGCCCACTTTCTCTCTCTCTCACACACACTCTCTCTCTCTCTCTCTCTCTCTCTCTCTCTTTCTATAGAGAATACAGTATCAAAGAGAGAGAAAGAGAGAGAGAGGTTGGTTTCCACTGGTGTTGGGTTACTGTTGACCACGATGTACAGATGAAAGAGAATGAGAGAATGAATGAATGAATGAACGAGAGAGAAACACATCGACAGGTTAGTGAGAAAGGACAGGTAAATAGCCCGTTCGCGGTTCGATTTACAACGGGTGCAACAGTATCGTTCGTGCAAAAATGACACTCGACTCTTGCAATCATTCGAGCGTTTTTGGACGATCGAAAGAGCGCCAACCAACCAACTCTCTGTTCATAGATCTCCTCGTCGATCACTGCCATTCCCTATTTCTCTTTCCCTTTTATTTCCGCACGACACAATCACGGGACAAGTCGCATCAACAATATCAGTGATCCGGCAAATCAAGTTCGGTCCGTTGACTTCATATTCGAAATATGCAACGAGGCATTCGTTGTGTTATTCCTATACACGAACTAAACGAGAAATCTTTTCTTTTAATTTGTTCAAACCTTTTTTTTTTCTAAATAAGTTCAAGAACGGATTGCAAAAAAATTCATGAATTTTATTTGATTATTATTCTGGGAAATTATTTGCTAATAATTGTAATTAAATGTTCATTTTGTTGTCCGTCCAAAATTCTATTGACAGATGCAATTTTCTTAATTATGATTATTTATAAATAAAAAATGACAATTAGATACGATGAATATTCAATATTTGAAACTAAATTAACAAAATACTCAGACTATGTTTTTATATTTCATTACTTACAAATAATCATAGCAATGAGAAAACTGACACCATTAGTTTGTCGTATCTTCGGATACAAGTAAACATTCGTTTAACATACACGATGATATTTTTACACTCGAAAAAATATTATGAAACGAATAAAATATATAAAACTTATAAATATTTTATATTCTAATGTGTCTATCTAATCTCTGATGACCATAAACAAAATTAATTTCTTATAAAATAATGAACAAAATATTGGACTTTTAATGAATGTTTTAAATGAATAATGAACAAATATACCGGTCCAAGAGTACTATTCTGATATCTTCGCGATTATAACAATTAACGTAGGACACAAATGGATTTCGTATGCGCGCGGACGCGCCCTTTTTCCCGGTTATCGCGACGAACGGTAATGACGCTAACGAATCATCGTAATAACGGCATTTCGAGTCCTCACGATCGACTCCTAACTCTCCCTACTCCCCCTTTACCTATCTATCTATCTATCTTTCTCTCTTTTCCCAATATAGGCCCTACAATCCCTCCATCTCTCCCTTTCTCTCTCTCTCTCTCTCTCGTTCAACCGCTTATCGAAGTCGATCATTCAATTTCGCGCTGCAAATTGTCCTTGCCGGAAACTCATATCCGGGCACTTCCGGTAGCCCTCCTCCATCTCTGTGCTCCCCCACCCCATGAAAGAACCCTACCTATCTCTCTCTCTCTTTCAAGGACGATCAGGAGTCCCAGAAACAGGGAACCACCACCACCACCACCACCATAACCATCACCAGGCAGCCATTGCAGTTCAACCCGATGGCTCTTCTAGCTAAGCAGCTAGGAGGATGAGAGACGAACTCTCTTCCGGTTCGTACCCACCCCCTTTCATCCCTCAACCTACCCTCCTTCTATTCCTCATCCTCTTCTTCTCCTACTCCTCGTCGTCCTCGTTCTCCTCTTCAGAATCCATTTCGCTTCATAGAGCATCCATCCAGGAACCCGAGTTTCACCTGAACTTTACTGCTGGTTGTCCTAGTCTAACTCTCAATGTTCTATCTTTTCTATTCTTTTTTTCTATTCTATTCTATTCTTTTCTTTTCTTTTCTTTTTTTTTGTCAAGAAAAATAATATAACTGTCGTTAATTCTACTTTAAATATCTAACATTACGAACAGGTACGAATTTAAGGGATGAAGCACCTGGCTGCATCAACTTAAAGTGCAATTTCATAGTTTGTTCATTTTCGTAGGGTTGCACGAATTATTTAGGTATTTTGTCAAATAACAATTGTAACTAAATTCGCGACAAAGAAATAATTAATACTTTCGTGACAATGAAAAAGAAAATAACCCTTATGACAATTACATGTTCAAAAAATTCACACAATTATTATAAAAAAAAATAAAACCAATAATATTATAATAGAAACTAGTAAAGAAAATTAATGAAAAAAGAAAAAGTTGTAGGAAGAAAATTACTTTTTTGACAATAAAAAAAAAAAAAAAAAAATAATGCTTATGACAATTAAAATATTCAAACAATTCACTCAACTATTATAAAAAAAAAAAAAATAAAAATAATAATAGAAACGCATAGAAAAATGACGATAACGAATTAATAAGAGGGGAGGGGGAAAAAAGGTATATTTAAGAAAATTGCGATTGACCGGTAAGAAATGATAGGGTTTAAGTTTGTAACGATAACGCATAGATTGTTATAACATTGGCATCATAGTGGGTATAATATTCCGCATAATTTTATGAGACTTTTAACATCGCGACAGAGTTTATAGGGCGATCTTTTAGAGCGTAACGAGTACGAACGGCTGTAGAATTACGTCGAGCGTAAACCGATAATGACGCCTGCATCATCCTTCTACACACACACACACACACACGAGAGAGAGAGAAAGAGAGAGAGAGAGAGTGGTCGGAATATACATATTTACTGAAACGCTTCGTGAAAATTTAGATTGTTCCCGCTAAGCGATACTAATTGCAACCACTGCAGATACTTGTTAGCGAGTCCAAGGCTCGATTACGCTCGTTCCTTCGTATTTTCATTCGTAATTTTCATTTCATAGTATATGTGATATATATGTGTACGTATAAGAGTCATATTTGCATACATTCATCCTATGAACGAAGGAAGAAATTCACATATGCTACGAGTATAAGTTTATTCTCAAGATGTATCATAAATCATGTGTTTCATCTTTAAATTCTACTTCACATATATACTACTATTATTGAATTTTGTATTATTATTTACATCTTTAAATATATATATATATATACATGTGTACGAAACAAAAATACAAATTGTAGATATATTTGTATAATAAAAAAAAATATTCGATGTTATATTTAGTAGCCCGGTTCGACGTATTTAAAAATGTATTTTTATTTGTTTTAAATTAGCATAAAAGTTTTAACATAACAAATTATACTCGAAATACTAAATTGTTTGAAAAATTTCTATATATATATATATATATATATGCAATTGATACTAATGCAAGAAGAAGAAAAAATGAAATGCATAAATATTTAGCTTTGAAATTATGAAATTTTGTTTCGTGAAACACAAGTTAAAATAGATATCTACATTATTATCGATAACTAATTAGAACAATGTACATTCCAACTAAATGATATTTATAATTTTGACGAATGATCATCCGTCGTAGCGATGCAACCGGTGTGGTTTGTTCAATCGAGACTAATCGATTATGTCTACTTTCCAACCCCCCCCCACCCAACCACCCATTGTGAAACTGGTCAAACGAAATAACATTTTCAATCTCGTTCTCTTCCTTTTTACAAACGTGCTAATAAAACATGCAAGTAAAATAAAGAAGAAAAAAAGAAGAAGAATTATTTCTGATCGTTGAGTACGTAAAATGCTACGAGAGTACGTTCGTAACGTTCGAAGAAGAAACATCTAATTTCATCCTCAATCCTTTCTTTCTATTTTATATTTTTTTAACTTGCAATTTTATTGTATCAACGAGACAACATTTTTATATATTCAAAGAAATGTGATATTTAAAAATTATCAATTATTGTTCGAAGTAATAAAAGGTGTTACCATAATTTTCGTTATTTCGAAATAGAATTGCGTTAAATCGTCCTGTTTTCTGCAAACAGAGAAAGACAAGGAAAGAGGGGATGAGAGAGAGAGAGAGAGAGAGAGAAAGAGAGAGAGGGGGGTGATGAGGTTGAAACAAACTAGGCTACGTGTGGTTGCTATAATACGCGTTTCATTCCAGTGACGCGGATCTAACGATAACGTCACAGTTTCCCCAGGATTCCTTTCATAACGATTCAAACGAAAGTTTTGCCAGTTTAACGCCAACATACATACACGTACACACATATACATATATACTAGTCGACTAGTGTCGTTTTACATTACAGTAGGTCTATTGCAAAATTATCATCGATAAATCGTTTTGTATTTTACTACTTACTCTGTGAAGAAGTCTCTTCGTGTTCATTGTTTTCAAAAAAAAAAAAAAAAGAAAGAAAACGTTTCACACACGCTTGATTTATATTTCAAGAAAAAAAAAAAAAAAAACTATTAAGGGTATTTTATACTACAAAACGGAGAAGAATAAAGAAGAAGAAAATTAAAAAAGAAAAAAAAAGGAACGAGGAGGAAGAAGAAGAAGAAGAAGAAGAAGAGAAAGTAGTTGGAACGACCCTGCTAAAAATTCAAACTCGCGAATTTACTGTAGAATAAATTTCAAAGTTTTCAGTCAGAAGGCGTATCTTCTTTCTCTTTTTTTCTCTCTCTTTCTCTCTCTCTCTCTCTCTCTCTCTCTCTCTCTCTCTCTCTTTGTGTGGTTCTTCACATCCAACAACGGCAAATCTGAAAAGTTTGACGCATTGTCGGTGAATAATCGGAAACGATTGTCGTGGCACCATAGAATAAAGAAAAAGGTGGAAAAGAAGAAAGATTTTCAAAACGCTTTTGACTTCTTTTACCAAAGCATTCGTCTGTAAATATTAATCCCTTTCAATCTTATTCGTAACTGTACAAATGGCTAATATTATCAAGTAAGTAGATTTAATTAGAAATTGTATTTTATATTGAAGATCTATTAATTGTTCATTGAAAAATAGTGAATCGAAGGAATCAACGGTACCAGTAGTGCCTACGCCAGTGACAATTACCACTGAAATGGAAAACAATAAGAATTTGTCTTCTCATGGAAAATCAAATAATTCGAGAAGAGAAAGCAATGGTTTTAATGCTGTTATTCATCACAAGAGAGGACTATTTGGGTAAAATATTATTTATTTAAATAAATTGATAATTATTTTCAATTTTATCAAAATGTGATTTTAACTGATTGAAATGTCAAACTGTAGCTTCAATTTTCTTTTATTTTATTTATTCAATTTAATGTTTTATATATATATATATATATATATTATTTTATTTTATTTTTGCAAAAGAAAAATGTAAAATTTTCCATTATACAGTGCACTCATTTCTGGAATAGGCAGTAATATATCGTTGCCATCTTGCATACCCCACGATCAAGATTTTTTACAAGGACACCCTCCGAATTTAGGATTACCTCTTCCACTTCGTACGAATCAAAAAAATCTGGATCAATATCGTCCAGATGATGATCTTAGAAAATTACATAGAACGAATTATTTACAATTAACACCTGTTAATACAGCTTGCGTATCTTTAACTGCACTCGACAATGAAAAAGGTGAACGAAAAATATTTTGTTTACGAGCCATCGTTAAGAGTGAAATATTATTAAAATAATATTAAATAAGATATTTAATCATTCATTAAATCAAAAAAAGAAAAGAAAAAGCAGAATATTAATGCAATTTAAATCTCTTAGCAAAAGCTCCAATTTTAAAAGTCAAGCAATCCACCTCGAAGGATTCAAAAAATAAAAATTCAGGTGAAATGATATCCACCATAAGCATGTTGTACGCTAAATTATTAATAGTAATCGGAATAGCATTACCAATCACAGCAAGCATAAGTCATAAAGTACCAATAATTTTAAATCAGGTATGTCGAATCATTTCAATTATCTTCTATACTTGTTGTTTTTTTTTTTTTTTTTTTTGTTTTAATCAAAAATAAACTAACACATATATATACATATAAAATTATGTTAAATAATATTAATACTTAAAACAATCTTTTTTTCTTATTTTGATTTATTCATTAACTTTCTATCTCTGTTGTTGAACCTTTTTTTTTTTTTTTTTTTTTTGTAAATTTTCATACATCAAAGGTTTACGAAGGTAACTGGACTTTTTCAGGGTTTTTATTTATACCTTTACCTTGGAAGCGTTACTTTCGTGATCACCATGTACGCCAGCATGTTGAAAGACAAAGCTGTAAAAAAGCTGATATTGCAGGGCAAAAGACAGGAAGAGACCTTTACCTTTGATGAAAAGGGTGCACGCGTTCACACTAACCAGGTACAATTCTTCTATTATTATTTTTTCTTTCTTTTTTTTTCTTTTTTTTTTTTTTTTTACTCTTCTTGTATATTCTATATTTTTATTTTACTCTTTCGTCATTCTTTATTAACGTAACAAAAAAAAAAATAAGAAGACAATACATTCGTTTATAATTAACTATCTCGAAAACATTTGATATTGATTTGTAATAACAAGTAAAACAAGTAATACAAAAAAAAAGGGGGGGGGTGGTTGAGAGTTTGAGTAGCTACGAATTTTTATTCTCATTTTTGTTTTTTTTTTCTGTTTCTGCTTCTGCTTCTTCTTCTTCTTCTTCTCTTTCTATCAGACGCAACAATATGGAAGCTTTTGTCTGAGATTCGGTGCTGTAGGATTTGGTGCCGGTTCATTGGTATTTACCGGATTGCAAATTGGGGCGGAAATAGCTTCCGGGCCATTCAGGGCGATTACACCAGCCGCTAGATTACTCCTGATCACAGCTCAGATGCACTTTATATTCCTTAACAGTAAAAATCTTGAATTGGCGAGATTACGTGTTCTAGCTAAATTAGGTCTTATGCATATGATCGCAACGAATCTTTGCGAATGGCTTCAGGTAAGTTGAAAAAACAATGAAAAAAAATTATTAAAATGAACCATACTATATTTTTGTGTTTAACACGTTCCGTGCGCCACGTGTACCACCGGTGGTACACTTACCATTAGACATATTTATTTAATGCACTGAAAATATATGTTTATAAGAAATGTAATTCTGTACAAAAATATTCCTATTAATATATTGATGTATTATACAAAATGCAGTATAGAACTAAGCACATAAGTTTGTTTAATTGTTATATTTACAATGAAATAATTAATAATTACTAATATCTACTAATTAATAATTAATAATAATTACTAAATTCCTACTAATTTGCTAGTAATTTATCATTACTACTAATAATAAGTAATAATTAATAATTACATGTGTAATGGTTGATTCTATTCAAGTAAAATTAAATGGCCTAAATGATAAGTCAAGTAAATAAGTACTTGGCACGGAACGTGTTAAATTTAATTCCCTAGAAATATTAATTCTTATTTTTTTACCCAGTTGACAAATACGTTTATTTGTTAAGAATTCGAATTTGTCAAAATCAAATTTCTCATTTATGATTATTTAATAGTGAGAAGTAATTATTAACAATTCACTGTCTCTATTTGGAATCTCTATTAATAATCATTAGAGAAACACAGTAGACTTTCCTATTCACCTACATAGACTATCTAACAAACACGAATGCACTATAGTGTTCGATATACATATTATCCGTTTAGGTGTAGAACGTGGATGCGCATATTATCAACATATCATTACTTTCACAGCAAATAATGAAGTATACACGTATATATATACGTACATAGTTTACCGTATACTCGGGTACAAATCAATATGACGTCATTTGGGGTATAGTAATTCGAACTAATTGTAAGAAAAAAAAAAAACACTAATAATATTCTCGAAACAATCTCGAAACAAAAAGAAATCCGAGGTTTTTGATAACCGTAAAAACAAAAACAAAAACAAAAATAATAAAAATTCTAAATGTTAAAGGTTTGAACAATAAAAAAGACCAAAAAAAAAATATAATGCATAAATTCAACACACAGAGAGCATGGGTCATCGAAAATTACGTTCCCATGATCGATAAGCTTTTAATACCTACGTGAATCGATTAAACGAATTTGGTATTTATCGAAATCAAACGTAATATTTATCGGCAACGAATTCTATATGAATATCGAATATGAAACGATTGGCAAAGCCCGCAACTCTGATGTTTGTCGAAATCGAAATCGGCGCTTATCGATATTGAAAATAATCATTCTCGTGATAAAACGAGACGACGACGAATATTTTCGGCATACGAAACAGAGTCACATGAAAATATATAACCAATTGGGACATATATCGGAAATAACGCGACCAAGAGTGAGAGAAAAGAAAAACAAAATAAAAGAAAAAAAAGAAAAACAAAAAACCATAAAGAGAGAGATAGAGAAAAAAGTTGCAGCAAGGATTTTATTGATGAAAAATTAATTCCTAATTGATTGAAAGATGAAAAAGATTAACTCTTTTTCGTTTTCCGAAATAAAAGGTTAATTTAAAATGATATGCGATAAATGTGTTTTATGTGTAAATTAAAAGTCTCCGTGGTAATGTTAATTTTTTTTTTTTTTTTTATAATTAAATGGCATTAATTTTGTTTTCAATAGAACAAAATGTAGGACACATCACAATTTCTGTATAGTGCATTCAAGTTTGTTAAGAATTATAAAACCTTTATAGAAATTTATACATAGTATACAATATTATATTATAATATAATATATTATTAATATATAATATATTATTTATTCTATATATAGTATACTATAGAATTTATATAGATAATTGTTTCCAATATAAGAGAACATATTATTAATATTGAATACCACAATATGAAATACTACAATACCTATATACTAAATTATCTTCATTAGAAATAAGGCTTTTATATAGTATATATATAATACTACTTCTATATAATATATTTTATACTATATAAAATATACAAGAATCTCTAGTATAGAACAACACAAAATATGAAACAATATCTATTGCATATACTGCACTTAAATCATTAATAACACACACACACACACAGGATCTATATATAATATAAAGATAATATATAATACTATATAAATTTTATACAATTACATAGTTGCATAAATACACTCCTATAAAAATTGATTCTAATTAATAATAAAATATTCCTAAATTCCTGGAAAAAATATTTTATATTATATATACATAAGTATCCCTAATATAAAACAACACAAAAAAAAAATATGAAACAATATCTATTGCATATACTGCATTTAACTCATTAATAACAATTATATATTATTTTTATATTATAAAAAATAATATAATATAAAATAATAATATATTATATTAATAATTAATTATTTATTTATTATTATATATAAATTTTATGCAATTACATAGTTGCATAAATACACTCCTATAAAAATTGATCCTAATTAATAATAAAATATTCCTAAGTTCTTGAAAATGAATTACAATCATTACTAGGATCATTAAAATGAAAGAAAAAGTATTAAATTTGTCTAAGATTTTTGGAAATAACAAAACTTTTTAAAATTTTAGGCTCTTATTGAAGAAACTCACAACGAAATCGATCAACTGGGTCACGTATTCGAGGGTGAAGAAGGGATGCTTAAATCGCTTTTAAGAGATGCCAGTCCTTTTTTATTCCCATGCACGATCGAGTTCAGTTTAATATGTGCCGTAATACTTTTTGAAATGTGGAAAAGAACTGATGAAAGAATCGAAACTAAAGGTATACGTTCTACCAGATCTATACATCGATTAAGTATCGATTGTAGCAGTGCTCACAGGTAATCTTTTTACAAATAAAATATAAAAATTTCACCTGTTAATTGATCAATCAATCTATTTTACCCTAAAAAAAATAAATTATCAATCTTGTTAAATTTGATTATTAAATTATTCGAAAAAATCGTGTGAATTTTCACCAAAAAAAAAAAAAAAATTAAATAAATTATTCGTCACGAATTTTTCGAATAATTCAATATATTACAAAATTTACTATATTATTTATTACTATAAATAATAATCATATTGATGAAATACTTGTATAATGAAATTCCCC